TTTTTAGTTGTCCAATTAATTTCTTTCTAATTTTAGTAGAGACGGGGTCTCGCTCTTGCTCAGGCTGGTCTCGAACTCCTGAGCTCAAACAATCCGCTCGCCTCGGCCTCCCAGAAAGCTAGGATTACAGGCGTGAGCCACCGCGCCCGGCCCTGCTGTTTGATTTTTTTTCCTAGTATAGAATATAAATTTAAAAGTAAAAGAGATTTCTTACCCTATCACTCTGCAGTAGATCAGAAAAACATTCTTTCTCTGTGTGATGCGAAGAGCAACACCTGCAAACTTCTAGTTCAAAACCAGGCCCTGATCAGCCTTCTGTGCCCCGCTTGTCACTGTCATCTAGCCTGATGACACTTCTGTTCAGATTATCCATGAGCTAAATACTGACAGCAGACCTCTTAAATCTAAAAGACTACTCTTAAACTATTACTGCGAAGGAAAGGATGTCTCTAACCACTGGTCTTTATCAGCCTGCCTGGATTCATAAATTCACTGTTATGTCGTTTCCCTGGGGACACTGAGCCTCCAGTAGAGAGGTAACAAATACAACTGTTTGGGAGCGAGGAGGATCTCAGGAGGAACATTCTTCAAATGGAGCCTGGGGCAGAAGGTGCTGACACAGGAAGTCAGGCCCCGGGTTCCGCGGAGGGATGGAGGGGAAAGAATCTGAGCAGAGTCCACTGGTGAGGGCAAAGGCAGGGTCTATGCCGATTCCCTTGTTTTCCCCCGATTCCTCTTGTTTTCTGTGACTTTTCTTCTCTAATCACACTAGACCTCCGTTTTGCAAGTTAATTTTTAAAAAATACAAAACTGAGGACGTTGGTACTTTAAGACGGGAGTCTGTCAACCTCATTTTCCAGCAAATTGATAAACTTAAAAAAAAAAATACAGAACAGAGAAAGTTCTCATTAAGAGCCTGAAAAAGCTCTGAAAGTAGTGATTTCTGTTTATTCCATTACATTAGAAGATTGGGGGTCCAGGGACCAAGCCGTCTGCCTTTTGTAAGGCTCCAGAGGGCTGTGCTCACTACTCTGCATCGCGCAGGCGCTCGGTCGGGGCTGCGGGCGGTTCCGGCACCCACAGCTGACATTTCTGCTGGAGCCTCACTCGGGCAGTCCGTCAGCCACCCGCATATGTCTTGTCTGGCTCAGCCCTTTCAATTCTCTTCCTCCAGGGGTCCGTTTTCTTCATGCTACTGGGGATTTCCTTCTGTTATGTGAAAATTGATCTGATTATTTAAAATGTCACTCCTACCAGGGAGGTGTACGTAAGAGGATTTCTACAGAGGATAAGGAATGATCTGATTATTTAAAATATCACTCCTGCCAAGAGGGTTGCCTAAGAATATTTCCACAGAGAGGCATGCATCCGTGATGGGAGGGTTGCAGGCGTTTTGGCATCTTGAGTGCTGGGAGGGGTTTGGAGATTTTACAGCAGTGGGACCTCTCGCAGAACGCAGATCTTAGGTGATGGTTGTGTCTGGTGCCAACAAGCCCACCCTTTTCTGATAGCTCATTCGCTCTGCTGTCATTAAAATCATCACATTTTATATATGTATTTTTATATATTTCTATCTATCTATATATCTCCAAGTTTGGGGTTTATGTGGCTCCACCTCCCCCACCAGCTAAACTGAGAGCTCTCTTGAGGGCTGCCTCATTTATTTTTCAATCCCCAGGGCCTGAAAACTAAAAGAAACATAATTACGTATTGAGTAAATGAATCGTCCAGTTGTACAACTGTCAACCTCTTATAGTTGGTTAAGCTTTTTTGTTTTACAATTTTTCCATTTTGATGTCATTATGAAATAATTCCCCCACATCTTAATTGTATAACAACCAATTAGAAAAGGATGAGAATCTAGAAGTTAAGAGAGGAGAAATGTAAATTTAAATTATTTTTTAAAAACTGTTTGAGGCCGGGCGCGGTGGCTCACGCCTGTAATGCTAGCTCTCTGGGAGGCTGAGGCGGGCGGATTGTTTGAGCTCAGGAGTTCGAAACCAGCCTGGCAAGAGCGAGACCCCGTCTCTACTAAAATTAGAAAGACATTAATTGGACAACTAAAAATATATAGAAAAAATTAGCCAGGCATGGTGGCGCATGCCTGTAGTCCTAGCTACTCGGGAGGCTGAGGCAGGAGGATTGCTTGAGCCCAGGAATTTGAGGTTGCTATGAGCTAGGCTGATGCCACAGCACTCACTCTAGCCCGGGCAAAAGAGTGAGACTCTGTCTCAAAAAAAAAAAACAAAAACTGTTTGATAATTTCAGCACTTGCAGTTGGATCTTTCCTATCCTATCAGGCTATAAGTCACTATGAAGCAGTTTCATAAGGACCATTTTTAATTTTGTGGTTTTATTTTGAATTTGAATGTTAAGTAGTAACATTGTATTATCATCCAGAGAATTCTTTGGTATGGAAGTGTTCATATTCACGTTATATTTATACTCACAAGAAATTGATTTTTACTTTCTTTTTAAAGAAAACTGAACTGAAGAAAATGGTGTTCTACTCAAGAAGACTGCTGGGCCTAGATGACCTCAGAATGAATCGGATTGTGGCGTTCACAAGAAAGTCTTAGTTTGCGATGATTACATTGCTTTTTGTTGTCCAGTAGTTTGGTTTGTGTACATATATACATACATATTTTGCACTACACAAATGATAACATTTTAAGGACTAATATCATGATACTTGAATAATCACTTTCAACTAGGTTATAAGTCGCATACATAGATTTGCCCTACCCTTGAACTTGACGGACATTAAATTATTAATTATCGTTTGGTAACATATTTACCTGATTATCTCCCATAGAGAAATATAAGCTGCTTTTCCAAGGTACAGTTGTGATAATGAGATCAGATATATAAGTGGGTCTTTTTAATTTTCTAAATTAAATACAAGAAAGAATGCAAACCAGGAGTGAATTTCAAATGACGTTAAATCAACTTCATATCTTAGTCACTGAATTGCCATGCCAAGTAGTAGAAAACTGCTGGAAGAATCTTCTTCCCCTTCACTTTGCAGGCTGCCTGTGATCTTTTTCGGGCATTCGCAGCCCTGAGTTTGGTGTTCAGGCATCATTATTAACAAGTAGAGCCCGCTGGAGTAGGCTTAGTTTTTACAAATGATTTCACGGAAGTCACATAACCTGCTGATGGAAATGTTGAAGACTGAGCATTATATAGGTTTAAAAGTATATTCTGAGCCTGCAGATGATTCATATGATTTTTATTCAATCATATACATTTATTCCTTTGTAATCATTTTTCTTCAACTGAGGATACCTAGCGTCTGCTTCATAGGGTGCTTTGAAATATAAAATGAAAACCTGTTTATACTGTTTTTACAAAGGTCAAAAAAGAAACAGATGAAAATCACTTTTCTGCAACTGGTGAACTGTATAGACTGGACTCTTAACCTCTTAGTGCCTCAGTTTTTCCTCCGGGTTATAATATTTTAGATCTACCTACTTTACAGGGGTACTGGAAGGATTTGCAAGCTCACAGGCCATGTGCTTCCACGTGAATAAGGCGTGCCCAGCTAACGGAACGTAAGTCCCTCCGCCCCACCTCTCACTTCAACCAAAAAGAAGGCGGTAATTTAGATCCTTGAAGACTTTGGAAAATCATTCTTCTTGTATATCTTCTAAACCTCCCTGCACACTTAGATAGACCTTGTGTTTTGAAGATTTCTTTGATTCAGATGCTTGGAACAAATAATTTTTAAGCAGTCTTGATATGTATGATGTTGGGTTTAGCATCATGTATTCAGAGTGTTTTAAATAAGAGGAAAAGAATTAATCTGTCTCTAATATTATAGGACGGTTCTTTTTTTGCCTGAAAAAAAAGTATAAGGATATAATTTGCTTTTCCCAGACTCTTTTTTCTTTTTTTTTCTTTCGTGTAACTTGGTGGTTTTTACTTTTTAATCCCATCTTGATTAAAATTTGTCTGTCTAAAGGGATCTACTAATATTTGTTTTTAAGTAACTGTCCTCTATTCAGAAAAAAAATGAAGGAAGGAACTACTTATATGTAAAAATAAAGTTTAGACCTGTGGATCAGAGATATTTTCAAAAATTAGAAATAAATCTGCTGTCAGAAAAGATGGCTTTTCTCTTAGCATATCAATAAATCAAATGCAAATTGAGAGTGTAAGTAGTTGTGAATCATTATAAGCAGCCAGAGGTAACTAAATCCTAGGGATAACCATTTGTATCCTGTTCCAAAGTCTTATTTTACAGTTTGAAAAGCACTTTGCACACAGTTCTTGTATATAAAAGTAAAGATGTAATTATAGGGTATAGTGTTCCTGCTTTGTTTAACAAGAACCTCCTTTTAAATTTTAAAGTGACAGCTATGGTATTTTTTTAATGATCAACTTATTTTCTGTTTCTTTATTGTAAAACTAAGTTAAAAATAAAAGGTTAATGAGAAATGACATGGTTTTTATTACTTGTTGCTGTTAGTGCATTGATTATGTACTAAGGATTAAATGAGAATAAGTAGTAGGAATTCATAGAAAGTAATCATGACTCTTTCAAGATAAAGCCATGCTATTATATATAATTTGATAAAAATCAGAAACTAGTATGAAATTTAACTCATTTAATCTTCTAGTTGAGAATATTAGTGATCCAGTCAAAAATCTTAGTTTCAGTTCTACCAAATAAGTAAGTTGCCCCAGCTGCTCGATGCACCCTACTGAGCCATCTTAAATCATGTCATTGGTCTTAGGTGGAAACTGGTGAGTTTTATGTTTTTAATATACATCTATAACTTGCAACTTCTACAGCTGGTGATAAAAGTGATAGTAACTACTTGCATCATTTAAGATATCAGTGTTCTGTTGCATGTAACAGAAATACAACTGCAGTGGCTCGAGCAAATGTTAAGTGGATTTTTCCGCCAGGACAAGAAGTCTGGGGCTGCCACAGTGCCAGCAGGAACACAGACTCCTTCTGTCTTTCTGTTCTACCATCGTTGGGGTAGCTCGCGTCTTCATTCTTGCAGGGTGGCTGAGGTACCCCTAGATTGTACGTCGGCAGTACAGGCGGGCACAGCGTGAAGGGCAGAAGCGATTCCCAGTCGTTTTGTGCCATGTGATAAGGAAATAGTAACTTTCTTGAAAGTCTCACACAGGAGATATCTTACATCTCATTGGCTAGAACTGGGTTTGGTAATTATATCTTTGTCTACAAAAATATTTTATTTAAAGAATAAAATCATTATATAGATACAATTTTATAAATATAATTTTGTCCATGTGTGGTAGGAAAAGGCCATGTCTTTTGGCTTTTAATGCCCTCCTTTAAAAATTTCTTTTAGAAACAAGATCTTGCTATGTTGCCCAGCCGGAATACAGTGGTGTGATCATAGCTCACAGCAGCCTCAAACTCCTGGGCTCAAGCTATCCTCCTGCCTCAGCCTCCCGAGTAGCTGGGACTACAAGCATGTGCCACCATGCTGGTTAATTTTTTAAAATTTTTGTAGAGATGAGGCCTTGCTGTGTCACCCAGGCTGGTCTCCAACTCCTGGTCTCAAGTGATCCTCCCACCTCGGCCTTCCAAAGTGCTGGGATTAGGTTTGAGCTACTGCACCGGCCTAATCCCCCCTTAAAATTCTCTTCTCTCGGCCAGGCGCGGTGGCTCACACCTATAATCCTAGCTCTCTGGGAGGCTGAGGCGGGCGGATTGTTTGAGCTCAGGAGTTCGAAACCAACCTGAGCAAGAGCGAGACCCTGTCTCTACTAAAATTAGAAAGAAATTAATTGGACAACTAAAAATATATAGAAAAAATTAGCCGGGCATGGTGGCGCATGCCTGTAGTCCCAGCTACTCGGGAGGCTGAGGCAGGAGGATCGCTTGAGCCCAGCAGTTTGAGATTGCAGTTAGCTGCGATGATGCTACTGCACTGTAGCCTGGGTGACAGCGAGACCCTTTTGCAAAAAACAAAAACCCAAAAACAAATAAGAGAACTTCCCCCTAGTTTGAATTCTTTAGGATTTGTTAAATGGAACTTTTTAATGCATACATAAAGCCAGGCGAGGAATAGCCACTGTTGTTTTTATTCTGCTTAGCACCCTTTCCCCCTTCTTCTGACGTGAGCACCACTCTCTTCTGCCCCCCGCCCTCTTCCTTTTGAGAGCTCTTCCTCCTCCCCTTGAATCCAATAATTCTGGTGAGGCTGCCAGGTGAAAGCCCAGCTGTGGCCATTGCTGCCCCACCCCAAGTCACAGTAATGTGACTTACACCTGGCCAGTTTATATCCCATGCTCCTGACCACAGTGACAATCCCAGGGATGGGGATGGGACCCTCAGTGAGGCAGTCAGAGTTATTCTCTGGGGTTTCGTTCATGGAGCTAGGAGAGAGTATTCTCTCTCTTTCTCTCGTACACTATGTTTTAGAGCTGTTTCAAGTTTGCAGCAATATTGAGTGGAGAGTCCCAAGAGTTCCCTTACGCTCCTTCCCCCCACACACGCCCACTGCTGCCTCCACCATCCGCATCCCCGACAGAATGGTCTCTTTGTTACAGTTGATGGGCCAACATGGACGCGTCATTACCTTAAGGTTCGCTCTTGGTGCTGTACATTCTGAGTCTGACAAATTTAAAATGACGTGTACGCACCGTTATAGTATCATCCCGAGTGGTTTCACTGCCCTGAAAATCCTGTGCTCAGCCTATTCATGCCTCCCTGCTGACTCCTTGCAACCACTGATCTTTTTACCGTCTCTAGTTTTGCCTTTTTAAGAATGTCATATATTGGGATCATATGGTATGTAGCTTTTCCAGACTGGCTTCTTTCACTTTGTAACATGCAGTTAAGGTTCCTCTGTGTGTTTTCATCGCTCAATAGCTCATTTCTCTGTAGCACTGAATAACAGTCCGTTGTATAGATGTGCCAGTTTCTTTATCCATTCACCTATTAAAGGACATCTTGGTGGCTTCCAAATTTTGGCAATTCTGAATAAAGCTGCTATAAACATCAGCGTGCAGGTGTAAGTTTTCAGCTCATTTGGATAAATATTAAGGAGCACAACTCCTGGATTGTATGCTGAAGAGCGTGTTTAGTTTTGTAAGAAACTGCCAAACTCTCTTCCATAGCGGCTGTACCATTTTGTATTTCCACTAGCAAGGAATGAGAGGTCCTGTTGCCCACTTCTTTGTCAGCACGTGGTATTGTCAGTGTTCTAGATTTTAGCCATTCTGATAGGTGTGTTGTGGTATCTCGCTGTTGCATTCTTTTCTCTTTGAATTATATAGGCTGCTAAAGGTTATATCATCCTAGAAGTTCTGGGGGCCATATTGTTTGCCACTTGGAGGAGCCCTAAGTAATAAGGCCAACACCAAGACCTAGAAACTTCGACAACTTAGAGCCAGAGACAGCGAAGAACGTTCATCCAATTAACTCCGAAAACACTACCCCTCTCTTTATACAATTTATTTACATAGGTTCGTGAATTTCCTTCTTACTTAAAGTGGTTTAAGTTAGGTTTCTGATACTTGCTACTAGAGTCATAAATAATATAAGTGGCTTTTCATTCTCAGGCCTGAGTGCAGGCTCTACTGCCTGGACGCAAATTCTGGCTCCAACACTTTGCAGCTATGCATTCATGGGACAGTTTGTGTCAAAGTACAGATTCCTTTCTTACCAAAAGCCAGCCCCTTCCACCTATCCTCTGGATAGTATCCCTTTCCTCAAAGGAGTTTGCCACATTTTTCTTCCCCAGCGGCAACTACTGCCATGACTTACGGCTGATTGTTTTGGTACTTACCTCCCAGGTTCTAAGTTAGATGTTTGAATTGCCACTGCTTCATTTTTCTGTTTTAGGAATTACCTATTTATTTCACATGACTGAAATTGAAGATTTCATTTTTTTTTTCTTTCGCTTTCATTCACTGCTCATGTGTATTTTTTTCATTTACCCACCTTTCTTTTTTTTTTTTTTGAGACAGAGTCTCACTCTGTGCCTGGGCTGGAGTGCCGTGGCGTCATCCTAGCTCACAGCAACCTCAAACTCCTGGGCTCAAGTGATCCTCCTACCTCAGCCTCCCGAGTAGCTGGGACTACAGGCATCCACCACCATGCCCGGCTAATTTTTTCTATATATTTTTAGTTGTCCAGATGATTTCTTTCTATTTTTAGTAGAGACGGGGTCTCACTCTTGGCTCAGGCTGGTCTCAAATTCCTGAGCTCAAGGGATCCTCCCGCCTCGGCCTCCCAGAGTGCCAAGATTACAGGTGTGAGCCGCTGCACTCGGCCTTTAGGGAACCTGAATCTTTTATAATGGGTCGTAACCAAACCTATACTTTACTCTGGAAACAGACATTATTATATTAGACAGTAAGTATCCTGCCATTTACTCCAAAAGACGACACTATCTGTGTCTTCCAAAGCTTTTCACTACACTAACATCCTTGAAAAGATGACCCAAAACAAAGGTCTGTCGCACTTTACTTGCATGACATGTAGAACTCACGAGAGCCATGGAGAATTGTCTCCCAGTGCATTTGTATTGAGATTATTGTTAGATCAGTGTTTCAGGCTTCACATTATTAGGACCATGTAAACACTATTGACAGCTGGGCAATGTATTAAACTATGATCATTTTTTTCTTTCCTGCGCAGCTTTTTATTATTGCCAGAGTTAACTATTTTACTTTTTCATTTGCTTAGTTTTCCCTATCCTTAACATTATTCAATCTCTAATTCTTTCCTATTATCTAAAAAGAATCTGAATCTACAACATCTTTTTTTTTTTTTTTTTGAGACAGAGTCTCACTGTGTTGCCCCGGCTAGAGTGCCGTGCCGTCAGCCTAGCTCACAGCAACCTCAAACTCCTAGGCTCAAGCGATCTTCTTGCCTCAGCCTCCCGAGCAGCTGGGACTACAGGCATGCGCCACCATGCCTGGCTAATTTTTTCTCTATATTTTTAGTTGTCCAATTAATTTCTTTCTATTTTTTACTAGAGATGGGGTCTCGCTCTTGCTCAGGCTGGTCTTGAACTCCTGAGCTCAAACGATCTGCCCGCCTCAGCCTCCCAGAGAGCTAGGATTACAGGCGTGAGCCACCACGCCCGGCCTAAAGCTACAACATCTTGACAGGTGTAAATTTAGATAATAAATCACTGGTTCACAATGAATACCATTACAGCATGCCTTCCCTGGTGGCCGAATATCAGGTGACCACAGCTGCACACGCTAGGTCTGTTATAGCAAAGAGTGTTTGTAATTTTCCACCCAGGGTTCTGTCTTCTGTATTGGGAATAGGCTCATAGTTCTTTTCTCCAATTATTCAATAATGTTTCAAGGCCCTCTTAAGATTGATATCCTGGGTAGCCACGAAACGGGCTTATTCCTGAAGCTGACTCTGCTCATTCCGACTCTCCGAAGTCATCACCATTTATCCCCGATCTACAGGTGACTCATCAGCAGCTCGGAGTTAAACCTGCCCCAGGCCTTTTCATGTGGCAGAGCAATGGTTTGAATAATTTGTATTTGATGCCGAAGTCTTTTTTCTTTCTACTACTTGAAAATATCATAAAATGACAATAGATAATTCTTTGCTTTCACCTAATTTAGGGGAAAGATGTAATTCCTATTAAATGAAGTTTTAACAACTGTATTTTGAAGATTTTATTAGAAGTGGTAACCATCAGGAGCATTAAATCTAAGTAGTTATTACCAAAACAAGCTCAGTAAAACCATTAGCCCGTGGATTCAATCATATAGGACCAGTTATAAGGGTGTATCTACCTGTAACAGTTTTAAACTTGCACATTTGTCAACTGCATTATACCAGGGCTCTTACCGGGATGGTAATGGACAGCAAAAACACTAAAGCCAGTGTGCAAAAGGAACGATTATTTACGAGAACACTCCATTAGCAGAAAACTTACAAATGGTGCATTTAAATTTGAACTTTGCTTTTTGGGGGAGTTAAGTATGCTGAAAGCCTCAATGCCTTTAAGATACAACCTGTGAAGCTGAATCTCAGTGTGTGTATATATATTTGAAAGAATGATGATGACAGGTAATCTACTTGTTATATTTATTAAGCAATAAGAAGTTATTTTGTGTTTGTTTTTTAAGGATTAGTCTATGTCCGATAATGTTGCATTTTTAAAATAAATGACTATAAGATGTAAAGCATCATATTTTCTACTAAAATTGAACAAGCTGTTCAAATTGCGAAATTATATTATACCTAAGCCTCCCAGTACTACTTTAAACAAATACACATTGTGCAGCCAGCACCAGTAGCAGTCGGGGCAGCAAAGGTAAAGTAAGAGAAAACCTTAGTCCTTTTGTTTATTCTTTATTCCCCAAAGCAGTTATGCGACTGAGCAAAGGAATTTTCCGGCTGCATTTTTGAGGTCACAAAAGTGGCTTTAAATGATTGCCCTTGAGATGGCCACTTTGGCAGGCAATCATGTGCAAATAAATTACATTTAAGTGAAACCGTATGATTATTTCGTTATTTTGACACCAACCAGAACGGTGTATTGAAATCGACAGATACGGAGAAGGAAAATCAAGGTCATGGCTCACTCTCTCGATGGTGTTAGTGTCATTCTAGTTTTATTGATGCTGTAGTTTTCATAAAGTGCAGTAAACAAAATAAATAAGATGAAAATAAGCTTAGAAGACTTATATACAGTTCTGAGATTAAGATAAATTACTGATTATATCCCTTATAGCCTTTTAACTCTGTGAAAGCTGTAACATGCATTTAAAGCACATTAACCTAAGTGAAATAATGATTTTCCCCCTTAGATCAATCTAGTATTAAGGAGTATAGAATTACGCAAGCTTATTCTATAATACGAGGTTCGACTAAAAGGAAAATGTACGTGCTATAGACTAAATCCAGATACGGTCAGCTGCTGAGCGTTATTCCTGGCTTCAAAGTAGGATGTGTCCGTTTCACCGTCTGGCTGGGGTATGAAAGGCATAGTCTGATGCTGCAGATTTTCCCAGTCCACATCGCTGAAGAGAGGATGATGTTTCAGCTCTTCGGAAAAATATAAAACCAAACGATATTATGACACCATTACCTAAGTAAGTACTGCTTTACAGGAATTAAAAAGAGAATGTCTCACCTACATCTTGCCGCGCTTTATCATGCCAGTTTCACAGATGGTTAGTGTCTGTCTCCCTAATGGCCACATATTTCACAAAGGCACACGTTGTACCATTTTGCATATCACTTGGCTTATGACAGGAGCCTGCGCTGTACTTGTCCAATGAGTGAATGAATGATTTGCCTTCACAGAAGCCTGTCTTCTCACACCGTCCCTGACTCCAGAGAAAAGAGTGTGGCCTACTTCTTGTTCCCTGATAAACCATCCATACCGCTGATCTTCCATGATTAATGTTACAATTCTCCTTCCGAGGCCTTGCTGCCTGTTTATATCCCTGCACCCTTGGCACTGTCTACTGCCCTAGATAACCCGAGCCTGCAGCTCACCCTCCACCCATGACTTTACTCCCTACACTCCACCCTTGTCCTTCACGGTGATTTCAACACAAACACCAATGACACTTCTGACACATTCTCTTCCTTGATTTCACTGACTTGTGTCTCTACGACATAGTGATGTCTAGCACTACATCTGGAAGCTTTATGTCACAGACCTACTCTGCTTTTAAGAGCTGAAACTTTGCTCACCTCTTTACCATTCTGTTACTTGTAATTGTTCCTATTTCCTTCTACCTACTAAAATAAAAATATACTCTTGACTACCCTGGGATATTTAGTTGCCAGACATAGCCTCCCCTCCTTAACCCCTCACTTCCTAAGGCAACAATAAAAATGTTGGCAAACAAGGAAGTGACAGTTAAGGTAGTAAATGGCTCCCCCCCCAAACAAAGGACCCAAATTTCAGGAAAATACTGGAAGAAGACTACACAGACAGGAAAGAATTGTGTGTCTGTATTGGGAGTGATGGGTTGGGAGATCAATATGTCTACAAGTTGGTTTTCCCCTAAACTAAAAGACTGGTAGAAAAAAGGATAAGATAGGAAAAACAATTCACATATACAGAATTTATTTCTTAATGTTCAAAATAAATACCTGAGCATAGATTACTTTAAATATTATAATACTTTATAAGAGCAGTTCTCAACTGGGTGACTTCTGCCTCCCAAAGGATATTTGGCAGTGACATCTCTGGTTGCACCACTGTGGGGGCACTTGTGGGTAGAGGCAGGGATTCTGTTAAACCTCCCACAATGCACAGGACAGTCCTCACAACAACGAATTATCTGGCCTCCAATGCCAATTTTGCTAGAGTTGAGAAATGCTTCTTTATTACGTGGCTGTTACATACTGTAATTTGCTCAAAATAAATGATGATAGAGGAAAAGTGTTCTTATTAAAGACATTGCAGATTTTTGTTTCTTTAATGAAATAATTTACACAGTGAAGGAGATGATAGGTGATTCTTCAGTTAAAAAACAGCTGCTTCAACACTTAGACTAAATTAGAATTCCCTTGTGGATTCAGTTGTTTTAAAAATTTTTTTTCTTTATTTTTTTGAGACAAGGTCTCGCTCTATGACGCAGCCTAGAGTACAGTGGCATCATCATAGCTCACTGCAACCTCAAACTCCTGTGCTCAAGTGGTCCTCCCACTCATTTAAGTGTCTGGAGAAAGCCAGAGCTCAGTTCTGAAATGTCCACTCCTTCCCTTTACACAGGTTTCTGCTCATATCACCCTCTTCACAGAGGTCTTCCTGACCACCCTACCCCAAAAAATCTGCCATCGCTTCATATCCTCTCACTCTGCTTTATTCTCCTTCCCAGTATTTACCACCACGTGGCTTTATGTTACGGCTGTAATTTGTTTACTGTCTGTCTTTCCACTAGAATGTAAGTTCCAAATGGTTGGGGTTTTAGTCTAGTTCATTCCGAGAATATTCCCAGTACCTGAACATTGCTTAGCATGTAGAAATCACTCTATAGGATCTGTTCAATCAAGCAATCAACAAACTTGTTGATCTTATTAGAGGGAATACCTAGAAGCTGATGCCAATGGTGTATTTATAAAGCCCATTTTCCTATATGCACCCTACTTTACATGGAAAGGCATTTTGAGACATAATGCTTATTTGTCTCTATATTATACCACGTCACAAACAGGACTTTAACGCAGTTGCTAACGCGTTTACTGGAGTTTCAAAATAGGGTTTAATATACCCCTGCATTGAGAAAAGCATCAAATGGTTTATAATGTGCCATGTTTGTCTTATTTCAGGCAATCTGGGACCTGGTACATTTGTCAATGAATAACAGTATCAAAAATGAAGCAACAAGAAATTACAGAACAATAGGTTTTCATAAAAAAAGATTTCCTGTATTTGTAGATGGTTAACTTTATCAGGTTTGAAAAACCCAAGACACCGATAAGATTGTTTTAGGCAACTGCTTGAAATGAATAAAATTTAATGTGTGAATATAGTATTGCAAATTGACCACGTTTAATTTTTTTCCCCATATAACATGTGACACATTGAATTTTAATGTAGAATAAGGACAAATACATCAATGCATACCTAGAAGGCAGAAATAAACTAAATTATCTTTTTACCAGGTTAGCAGTCAGACTTATCTGTAGTATTGCATTGGAATACTATATACTTTCGGCCGGGCGCAGTGGCTCACGCCTGTAATCCTGGCACTCTGGGAGGCTGAGGCGGGTGGATCGCTCAAGGTCAGGAGTTCAAGACCAGCCTGAGCAAGAGCAAGACCCCCGTTTCTACTAAAAAAACAGAAAGAAATT